CTCCATCTCTCTTTCTTACCTGGAACAGTCACTTCTCAAGATAAAAGGCTGTCCCAGGGCTACTTAATCCTGTATTGAGCTGCTTAAATAAATGACAGCAGTCAGTAGGGTAGAAATTCCTGCAGACTTGTTTGCAAAGTCAAAGTCAATTTTGAAGCAAGGCTGCCTTACTTTAGTGCAGTGGACAGGAATTCAGCAGAAATTTCAGAGCTGAATTAAAGGTTTTTAGTGCAGCCAACAGGGAAATGAGTGATGCAATCGGCCCACTCTTCCCAGTATTGCTTATTCTCAGATTAAATTCAAACTATTGTATTCCACCACGGCAGTTTGCACTTCCCACAAGTTTTTGTGCTGACTACACAGATTTCCCTCGTGAGAATTATTGTGGGGGGGAATGGGAGGAATTTGGGTTCTTATCTCTCCACCACCCCAAACAATCCAGCTCTTTGCCTTCCCGGGAGCAAACAACTCATCTGAAGGTCTTCCATCAAACTGAACCCCAGGCAAAATGTTGATAAAATGATATGTTTAAATGTCATCAAATTAAACCCCGGGCAAGCTGTTGATAGAAATAATGTGTTTAAATGTCATCATTAGGTTTCATTGTTATCAACCTGCTGAGAATAGCAGCATCTCTCACGCTAAGATTTGCAACCTGAAGGAGACATCAATGAATTGGCTTCCTACATCTTCCATGAGACCATAAGGCTCAGACTTCCTACTGAAATAAATTAAATTTATGGTGGATAGTGGACTGGGTTTTGTTGGGGGGTTTTTTGTGTGGGGCTTTTATTTTTTTTTTTTTTTTAATTTTTCCTGGAGAAGGGAGGAGTTTGAAAAAAGGAAAGAGGAGAACTTGCAAAAAAAACCCCAGCAGCCAAGGCTGGTTTGACCACGCAGGGTTGACGACAGTGCTGGTGGTGATGTATAGACTTGTGCAGTAGGAAATGGACTGGAGCCACGACAGAGCATCTGTCAGATGATAACTTGCAGTCATTTGCAATCTGTGCTGGAGGCAGACCAAAGGCCTGAGCCAACGCTTCCAGTTATCCAGGCCTTTCCTCTGGGTCTTAACTCCATCTTCTTTACATCCCATAGAATGAGACTCTTCCGCTGCTCTACTGCAGCACAGCAGTGACATCCAGGGGCCATTTCATTTGCTGTTGAGATCAGCCTACTGATATCCAAGAGCATATGTACCTAAGCCAAAAACCCACTGAAGTCGCTTGGAAAGATCCCCATCAATGTCAACAAGCCTTTGATCCATCTGTTTTACTCCATGTTTTTTAACAGTTAGCAAAAAAAGGGCTTTCGTGCCCAATTACCTTGGTTGCTACCTTTTTGGCTGAGTAATCTAAGAAAAGTCTCCCTGAGCCAGCCTTCTGTTCAACACATAAAGTGACTTTGTGTGCTGAGATTCACCCAGTCCCACCGCATCTCCCCAGAACGATGACCTACAGCAGTAGCAGTAGGTCCATCCAAATTCCTGGATTGTAGCAGTAGTGGAGCCTCAAGTTCTGCACCAAAAGCCAGTCCTATTTCCTCCTCTAAACAAGAGGTCAGAAAACTAACGAGCCAAAGGCAGTCAGACATGATCTTGGCCACCTTGATGAGCAGTTGGCGTGAGAAACCTGCCAACCTTTAGCCTTGTTGGATAGGGCATGGTCAGCTGGACTGGGTGGGGTAAACCTGACCCCTGCACAACTGGTTGAGATCTCTCACTTGTATTTAATACAAATTTCTCAGTTTCCATCTCATTACAACTTTTCTTGGTGTTCTTTCCAGCATTTACACCTGTGCAGACGTCGGTAAATGGGAGTAAAGTCACTTTGTTTTTTCCTCTTGGATACGTTTTTTCTCTTTAAAGCAGGTTTTCAGTGCCTGAAATCTCCCTGGCAGGAATCTTTGCCGTTTCCTTAAGATCTTTTTTTGGACATGTGAACATCAGGACTAGACATAACTTTTCAGAAATGGCCTCACTAATGCTGTTTACAGAGATAATATCACTTCAGCACTCCCACTTCACATTTGCCGGCTGCGCCGCCAAGGATTACTCCAACCTTCTTGGCTAAGACTTTGCTGGGAGTTCATGCTCAAGCAATTGTCTACCAGGACCACTCGGTTTGGTTCTGAGTCACTGATTTCCGGGATGCATCCCCCAATGTCCTAGGTGTGACCCACGTCCCTTGCTCCAAAAACATCTGCCTCTTCCCGTGGCCGCATTGAAACGAGTTGTTTCGGGGTTCCCACTTCAGCCATCAGCACCTGCCTGCACAACCAGCCTGTGCCCGTGGCTATTTACCACCAATCTTGTTTTCGTACTCTCTGCAAATTTTACCAGCTCTCTGGGTTGGTTGTTTTGGGTTTTTTTTTGCCATTCACAGCTAAGGGGCTGCTGCTCTGTGGTTATCGGATCATTCTCCAGACATTTGCTCTTTGCAATTTTCTTCCTCCCACTTTCCCTCAGCTTACATTTCCCCTTCCATGCTTTTAATCCATTGTGCTAACACCAGTTGGGTCTGCTTTTATTTCCTGTAGGTGGTTTGTTTGGCTCAAGTCACTGGGCACGATGGCAGATGTTTGGGTTCAAGGGGAGGTGTAATGAAAGAGGATCACACTGAGAACATGCCCTCCCTGTCTCTGCTCTGCACAGACCAGATGTGCACTGTGTGGCCCAGCACGACAGCCATCCTGCATTGAAACTGAGAATATGAAAATATTCATCAGGAAAGCAGAAGTGCATAAAGCTACCAGAGGTGGCTCTCCAAAAATCCCTCATTCTCAGCAAAAAAAAGAGGTTTCCCATGGTCCAGTAACTGTTTTGATAACCCTTTCCCTGTTGTACCAGAATACTAATAAATAGGTAGCAAAAGAAATATTTTGCTACAGGCTTAACTAAAGCAAGGCAAGCACTTTCTCCACTGTCATTTTTCTCTCCTTTTTTTTTTTTTTTGGCTTTCCCAGGTTGGACAGAGCTGGCTGGAGAGCTGGACTGAGGGCTCACAGGAGAGAAATTAAAGAACAAGTGGAGATTTTGCATTTGTATCCTTAATTTATGGTTGGAGTGTATTGGGCACTGAGAGAAAGAACTGGTGGAGGGCGAAGGAAATAAATTATCTCTGTAAATAATGGGTGGTATGTACCCAGCTTAAAATGGAAACAGGTAACAAGAAACATCTCACTGCAGCCATGTTAAATGTACAACCAGAGGCTGGGGGTTAGGATTTTTTTTATTCAACAGCTATTTGTATTCCTTCATTTCAGCCATTTAGAGAGCTTCCTCGCTAGAGGATAGAATCATGGAACCATAGAATGGTTTGGGTTGGAAAAGACCTTAAAGATCATCTCACTCCAACCCCCTGCCATGGGCAGGGACACCTTCCCCTAGCACAGGTTGCTCCAAGCCCTGTCCAACCTGACCTTGGACACCTCCAGGGATAGGGCAGACACAGCTTCTCTGGGCAACCTGTGCCAGGGCATCAACACTCTTATAGTAAATAATTTCTTATTAATATCTAATCTAAAGCTGACTTTCTTCAGCTTAAAGCCATTCCCCCTTGTCCTCTAACAACATGCCCTTGTGAGAAGTCCCTCTCCAGCCCTCTTGCAAGCCTCCTTTAGGCACTGGAAGGGACTCTAAGGCCTCCCTGGAGCCTTCTCTTCTCCAGGCTGAACAATCCCAACCCTCTCAGCCTGTCTAGGATAAAAGTTCATAGTCTTTTAATGGTTGTAAAACGCACATGGCACTTTTCCCCATTTTGCAGTTGCAGAGCTGAGGCAGGGCAGGTTCAGCCCCACATCCCACAGACAGCCGATGGCAAGGAGATGGATGATCAGAAGCTGGTGCTGTCACTGCTGCCCCATCCTCCCTCCTTCCCTGCCTGACCCTGCAGCAGTGCACGGCAGGGGACTCGCCGTCACTGGGGTGAGATGCTACAGATCATCTCTTGACTGGAGACTGAACCAAACATTTCAGAGGACTATTCTTCTATTTAAAAGCAGGTCTTCTCTGGATCTCTTATGCAAAGCATAAAAAGCCTTTCAAAATAGCCAGCATGATTATTCATGACTCCTCGTTTGCAGCAGTGCTTGTTTTCCATGGCAGCGCCCGATGAGCTCACCTGAATAAAGATTTACAGGGAAGAATTGATGGCTGAAGGTTTTTTGCACAAGCAAAGGTGTGAGCTGGCATTGTCCCTTCTGCACGGGGATTTTGATGGGCGCTGCTAGAGCAGAGAGCCCATCTCCAGCCTGGTGCTGGTCTGGCCACTGTGGTGCCCTCACACGGCTGTGCTGCGGCTCTGGCTCAGGGAACTCATCACCGCTCGCTTTATTTACAAGTATCACACAGAGGAAGGGTTTGGGGGCACCCTGGGTTTCCCAGGGAAGCTCTAGATGGACGGGCACACCTGATGGAGGGTGCTAAAACAACTCAAGGTGATACGCCCGAGGCTGCGCGACGAGGATGTGGCGGTGCTGGGGAAGGAGCCCAGGTCACAGAAATCCCAGCCTAGCTCAGGATGATTTCCCAGCAGGCAGCGTATTCTTTCCCCCTCTGCTTACCCCTGCTCTCCGACCAGCGGGCTGCAGGGACTGGAATTTCCCGACTCCCGAGACCTCGACTGTGCTGCCGTAACACCCACTGGAGTCTCCTTTGCTTTCCCGCTCCCTGCACCCCTCCCCGATTTTGTTTGTCTGTGGTTTTTGCACAGGGAAAAAAAACAAAACGAATTAACCGGAGGTTTCCGGGAGACCCTGCCCCGCACTGTCCCTCAGAGAGCAGACAACAACATCGGGCCGCTTTGATCACCTCGTTGTTACAGCAGATTTCGATGGCGAGCTGCAGATTCCGGCAGCAGCTGCGAGCAGTGTGGCGCAGCCCAAAAAAACACAGGCAGGGTCTGTCAGCGCAGCCCGGTGCCGGCTGAGCTGTCTGCTGCGTGATGTAAACCCCCCTCCCCACCCCACCCCCACTTTCCTTTAATTTGTTTTCCAGAAAATTCATTTCGAGAAGTGCTCCGCGAGTGGCTTGGCAGCAGCGGGAGGAAATGGGCTGGGGAGGACGTCAGCTGTCAGCCCGCAGCCCCCGCTGCCAAGCCCCGGCCAGCGGGACGGCGTGGGGGCTCACAGGGCTGCTTTCCCTGCCCGGGAAGAGCCTTTGGGTCGGGTCCATGCCGAGTTAACTCCCGGTCAGCCGGGGCGGCGAGTTCCAGCGCAGGGACCGTGTTTATTTGTGCGCTCCGCAGTGCCCGGCACTGAGCGGCTGCACCTGTGGATGCGACAGTAAAAACCGGTGATAAATAACGACCCAAGAAGGAGACAGCGCAATTTAATCTGTAAAAGTGAATACAATTAACTGGGGAAGGATGCTCAGGCTAGCTGAGGACATCTTTCCTTTTCCCTTTCCCTTTCCTTTCCCCTTTCTCTTTCCCTTTTCCTCCCCCTTCCCTTTTCCTTCCCCTTCCCTTTTCCTTTTTCCTTCCCCTTTCCTTTTCTTCTGTGGGTCTGGGGATGCACGTCCAGGCTAAAGATTCACAGAATTCAGAGGGTACAGCACAGAGAGCTTTGCCTGCTCTGTTTTGTGCCACTTGACTCTTGATGGAGGGAACGTGGCTGAGAGAGGGAAGCACAAGGTGTGCCAACTGCAGCTGGGAGAGGGACAAACTGGCAAGTGATCTGCATGTCTTTGTCCTTCCTTTCTTCCTTCTTTCCTCCTCACGCCCTCCCTTCCTCCCTCCCTCTTTACTCTTGCTTATCAAAACAGAAGATCCTGCTGACTTGCTCTGAGATTCAAAGCCCCATTACATCATCTCCTCCTTCTCTTGGAAATCAAGGGAAGGTGGGTTGGTCTTTCCCATGGACTCAGAGCTACAAGGGACCCCCAGGACCATCATGCCCATCTGTGGCTTCAAGCAGAACCTCACCAGGTCCAGCCCAAACAGATGTTGCTGTAGAAGTAGCAACATCTAGGGCTTGCTCTGGGAGATCTCCACAACCTCCTGGGAATGTGTCCCTGGGTCTGCTCAGCCTGCTCCAGCAGGAAGCTTTGCCTGATGAGCTCTCCAAATTTCCCTTGCTGCAATGTAGCTTGTCCCTTTGTTGTCCTGCCCCTCATGGACATGGACTGTCCCTTGGTGCCCTCAGCAGCCTTCCAGGAGCAGATCTTGGCCTGTGTTCTGTGCCCCAAGATGGATGAGGAAGTAATTTCTACATTTTGTGGTAGTGAACGTGTGAAGGAGTCTAATTATTTATGGAAAAGGAGGTTCATGCATCTTTTCCTTCCTTCTGCCACCCGTAAGTCTCACTAGGGCCATCAGGGAGACAACTACTGGGAGTAAGACCACTGAAAATCAGCTCCCTAACTTCTTCCATGACTGTGACCCCTCTAAGGCCAAAAAGAATGGTCACAGGTAATGATCTGGCTGCCTTCAATGGGATTAACTTAACATACGCCCAAATGCTTTGCTGGAGGAGGTGGGAGGCACCTGCAGTGGGACACTGCAAGATGGGATGGGAGAGCAGCTGATGGCTTTCCTGGGCTTTGGAGCATGGGAATTGCTGAGCGTTCTGGCTTGGCACTGCGGGTGAGCAGAAGGACACTGCAAACTCCTCACTACCTTCCTGCAGGTCACCTACTCCATAACTCACTGGAGTCATTTCTCCCTGCAGAGAAGGACAAGCTGAAGAATGTGGTTGGCCAGATTGTATTATTATTTCTTTTTCCTTTTGGAAAAATAACGGCATAGCATTTTCCCCTGCCTTGTCCTCTCCCGCGCTGTGCTGGTAGCTGCACTGAAGCTGATTGATTAGTTTAATAACAGGCAGTTGATATGCAGCCATAAAATTATGCACTTTTACTCATCAGCCTGATTGAACTCCTCTGCTGACTGTACAGGAGCAGAATGGCAGAGTTAAAATAATGAGGGAAACAGCCAAGGGAAAAGCAAGCGTGGTGGTGTTATTGTTTTTAAAGCTGAGCAAGAAAATGAGTCCAGGGAGGAGCTTTTCCAAAATAAATACCAAAATACAGAGGGAAAATGTTAAGATGTAATTAGCACTGGTACAAGTGCCATTAAATGTCTACAGGGGTTGGAGGCGTCAGCAGAGCTGCTTTTACACCCACGTGGTCTATGTTGGGGTTTCAGGAGGTTGGGGCTGACTCTGCTGAACACCCCCAGTGCCCACCTCCTCAGAAAGGGCCCTTGGCAGGGTGAATTGACTCAAGGGGAAAAAGATGGAAATTCAGTTTGTTGTCCTGTTTGTTTTTTGGGATTTTTTTTTTTTCCCCTGATTCTGGCCAAGGAAGGAGGGATATAAGGATGGAGCTGGAAAGAAATGTGACTGGGAAGGGTTTGTCCCCTCTGCCCCCATGCTAATGGCATCAGTGGAGTGGAGATGGTGTGATGGGGGTGTGGGAAGTACCAGAGTACTTTCAACCTGGCCTGGAGAGAACAGGACTCCTCTCAGTGATGTCCCCATGGCCCTGAGCTCTGCTCTCTGTGTTTCTGGGCACCGGGGAGCTGAAGTCAGACTCTGACCTGCGGGGTGTCAATCACGCTCTGCAAAGCCACCAAAGGGAATTGAAGGTTCCCACTCAGCCATGAATCAAAATGCAGGAGCAGGCAGTGGGGCTCACTGATGAAGAGCCACACAGCCCCCATCCATGCATGGAGAATGGCATTTGAGACTTTATATCCCAATAAAATATTTCCCAGCTCTCCAGGCAGGGCTTGCTGGGTCGACAGGCTCACTGTTTGTCCTGCACACATTCGTTTTATTTATAAGACCAATTTGTCTGTGAATAGGTCAGCCTTGTGCCTGTGAAATGTTTTAATTGAACCTTGTCACGTGCTGTGTCCCCAGCACAGCCCTGGGTCCAACCTCCACCCAGAACACAAAACTGTTCAGATTTTCCCTTTGGGGCACATCTCCCTGAAGGAGGGGATGGGAACAGGGGAGGGAACAAGTGGCACTTGGCATTTATTTTCTCCCAGAGAAATGCCTGGTAAAGGGTTGCACAACCCTTCTCGCCCTTCTCCCTGCTTGCACCCCATCCAGGTTGTTCCTGGAAGCAAGGCTCTTCCTTATTTGCACCAAAGGGCTTTGGGTCAGGCCACGTGTGGGTTGCAGGATGCTGTTGGAGATGACACACAGCTGGACTGACATATCCAAGGATGCTGCTTCTCCAGCTCCCCCCCCTGTTTATTATGGGTTTATTATGTTTATTATGGGTGCCCTCGCTGGTGGTTCTTGGGTGGGCTTTCCTCCTGGGCTCCTCCTCTGCCACCTTCTGTTTCCCATCTCCCTCTGGACAGGAGCTGTTGGGTTGTGTTATCTTGTCCAGATTATCTCTCTGGGAGCCACAGGTCAGGAAGCTCCTCCACAGCTCCTGACACCCAGGTGCTGACTGGGTCACCCTGTTGGGCTGAGACAAGTGTCCCCTGAGGCCAGGGGGGACATACATTGTAGAGTCAGAGCAGGGTCCCTGATGTCACCTCCAAAAGACCTTAATTCCCATGTGTGGGGCCCTGGATACTGCCAAGGTCCCCAGTGACCATCATGGTCAGAGCTCACATACAGCCCTTTGGAGTCTGCAGAGGCAGCACTGGGCAGGACTCAGTTTCTGTCCTTGTGCAGGATGGACTCAGCCTGTGTCACTCCTGATGGACATATTGCTCCTCCTTATCCTGCAAAACCTCTAGTGATGGAGATCCATGATCCTCCCTTTGCTCACTCCAATGTTTCACTGCCCTCAGAGAGAGGTGGGGCTACAGCTACTTCTGGGTATCTCTTTACACACCCTGTTTTCTGTGATTCCATGAGATTCCTGTGAAACCACAGCCCAAGTAACGTCCCAGAAAGAGCACAGTTAAAATTTCAAGAGCTGAAATAGTGAACTTCATGTCCCTCAGGGCAAACGTCCATAATCATCATCTGCTCCTGGCAGGGGCTCAGCAACAGCAAGTCTGTCCTGGGTGGTTTTGCAGGGTGCTATAGAGCTAATCCAGAGTCTTTTGATGTACAGCCCAGGGATGGATCAGAAATTGTGAAGAACATCCTCACACAAGCCCAAGAACCAGGAGTGAGGTGCTGGGTTGACAAGTTTGGAGCTCTGAGTCTTAAACTCTGTTTTCTCTCTCCACTGTTGTGGGTCTGTTCTCTTCCTGGCAGCCTGTCCTCTTCCTTGGACTCAGCAAAGGAACATGTGGAGTCTGCACTTGAATCCAGAGCACTGCAGGTGCTAAAGCAATACCTTGCTTCACTGCTAAGGAGCATGTGGCTCCTTGTCCTCTGGGTTGGAGCGTGTCCTTCGGCCTGGAGTGGAAAGGATAAACACTCTGTGGTGTAGCAAAAACTTTGCTTTTGTTCCCCTTCATCTAAAGCAAAAACAGACCCTGCAAATCACTAACAAATTGTCTTCCTGCAAGAGCAAATCTTGGTAAAAGCTGCCTGGGTTTCTTTATGTAATGGAGTTGGAAAACTAAATTTAACTGCTCCTTCAGGCTTCCCTCCCCTTTCTTTTGTTTTCTGGTAAAAGCCCCATTAACAGGATGGAAAGCTTCAGTACCGAAATTTGCCATTAAAGTTTTGAAAAACAACCACCACAAACATTTCCAAATACTTTGGAGGAAAAAAAACAAAAGTAAAAACCCACCAAAGCTGTTTTCCCCTCTCCTTGCTTTGAGCAGGTGCAAAGAAGAGCCCTTTCCAAGGTAAAGGAAGAAAGCCTAAGAGGAGGCAAAGGAAGATGACGTGGACAAAGGCTGCGAGAACAAACAATATTCTGACTCAAAGGATGTTGCAAACACATTGTATATACTCGGAAATATTTTAAAACCATTTCTAAACCAAAGCAGAAGCTGAGGAGGAGTTCGCCAATGGCAGGAGGAGGAAGACGTGGAGCTTGAATTAGGAGTTCAGGGAGAGTGAATGATCCTCAGCCCTGAGAGGGAGCTTGGGGGCAGCATGAAGAGGGCAGGAGCAGAGGCAGTGAGGATGGGGAAGCCACCAAATTGAGCATGCTGGTGTGGGATGTGGCAAATCCCTAATACAAGTGGGGTGATGATACAGTCCTTTCTTGAAGTCGTCCAAGCACAGCAGCCTGGAAGGTGTCAGGGCCAGAATCTGCCTGTGCAGCTGTAGGTACAGCCTGAAATAGCAGATTCAAATCGTTAATAAAGGGAATGTTTATGCAGTGGTTCTTGCCAGCTGAGAGGGGAAGCCTAACAGCGAGTGCCTAGTTATTCCTGATTTCTGCTCTTGGCAGAAGATTTGGCTTGGTGACCTCCTGAGGTCCCTTCCAACCTCATTTATTCCTGGTCCTACGAGCACGAGTCAATGAGCTCACCAGGGTCCTCATACATATTGCATTAAGGATGATGAAGAGAATGTGGCAAGTGAAGAACAGAATGAATTCAGTCCATGCTGAATATCTTTCCCCAGACTTGAATATCATGGAACTACTTAGGTCGGAAAAGACCTTTAAGACCATCGAGTCCAGCCATCAAGCCAGTTCAGCCAAGTCTACCATTAAACTGTGTCCCCAGGTGCCACATCTACATGTCTTTTAAATATCTCTAGGGACAGTGACTCCACCACTTCCTTGGGCAGCCTGTTCCAGGGCTTGAAAATTCTTTCTGTGAAGCAATAGTTCCTAATATCCAATCTACACCTCCTCTGGCACTGCTTGAGCCCATTTCCTCTGGTCCTATGGCTTGTTACCTAGGAGAAGAGACTGACCCCCACAACCTCTTTTTGGAGAGTTGTAGAAAGTGATATGGTGTTCTCTGAGCTTCCTTTTCTCCAGGGTGAGCCCCCCCAGCTCCCTCAGCTGCTCCTCATCTGACTTGTGCTCCAGACCCTTTCCCAGCTCTGTTTCCTTTCTCTGGACATGCTTCAGCTCAGCACACAGATAACCCTGAGGATGCTACAGCAGGATCTGCATCCTTTACAGAACTGGCTTCTTACAGACTTTCCCAGCAGAATCTGGCTTTATTCTGGGGATGTCCCAGACCACCTCCATGGATTCTCCTTCCTTCCTCTCCCAGATGAGACACAAATACTGGAGAAATGGGGAAGGGGATGGAAAAGGAAAGGAAAGGGAAGGGAAGGTTTGGGAAGGGAAGGTTTGGGAAGGTTTGGGAAGGTTTGGGAAGGGAAGGGAAAGGAACAAAGAGAAAAGAGATTTGCCGTGATTTAAAAAAAATTATTTTATAGAAAGCAGAATGAATGTGTTGTGAAGCAAAACGCTGGTCTCAAATACCCTGTTGGTGCTTTCCCCTCTGCGGGGCCGCTCCGTGCCCGCCGAGCGCGGCCGCTGCTTTTGTTTTCTTCCGTCCGAGTGACCTCCCGGTCACTCCAAATGTCACAGCGGCCTGTGGAGCCGCGGCTCCCCGCAGCCCCTTCCGGAGGGGGAACACGCCGTCACCGGACGAGAAACTTGGCTGCAAACACCCCAGAGCAAATCGGTGTCAGAGACAACCGAGCCCCGGGAGCGGGAGGGAGAGGGGCTCGCTCTCGGAGGTCGTGATTCATCAGCAGACCCAACGCTGAGGCTCCATGGACTTCAAAAACGACCTCAATAGGCCAGGGTGTCCCCACGTTCCCATCAAATGCCGCCTTTGGGAATAGAGGGTTTCTTCTTGTTGCTTCGCCCGATGCGCCGATAAAACCCGGAGCCAGATAAAGCCGCGCTGCCGAGCGCGGGGTCTCTTCCCCCGTGGCACCGCTTTATTTTGTGGTTGACATTTAGCTGTCACCGAGATGGGCACGTTAAAGCCATGGTAAGGCAAATATTTGCTCAGCAGGAAAAGCAGCCGATAGGTAAATTGCGTGGCGTTACCTCCGGCGCGTCTCACACGGCGTGAGCTGGGATGCGCGGGCTGGAGCCGGGAAAATCCCAACCTCTGACCATTCACAGGCTATTAAAGATACCGGTTCACCCTCTGGGAGCCCATCTTCTGGCTTAAAGCTCCATTTGCCACGTGAGCAGCATTGATTTGAAAGTATCAGGTGCTCTGTTCATCTGCTTAAATCTGTTGAAATCCTGATGGAGCAGCTGATGGGGACCAGGAACCACTTGTCCCATTTTCCAGAAGAAATCCCAAATGGACCAAACGAGTTACAGTGCCTCCAAGGTGCCTCTTTCCCTTCATGGCCTGCCAGGGTGTCTGCTGGCTGCACACAAGGTTTGGTGTGGGGGAATATATACTGCTGCCCTTTGAGTGTATCCTGATAATTTGTCAGCATCAATGTTAAAAAGGTGCCTCCTTTGGAATACAAATTCACTTGGACCTGCTCTCCACTCACTGCTGTTTTTCTCCCACAGATCAGGCAGCCCTGCATCCTGTATCCTCTCCCCTCGGAAGCAATCCTCAGCTGTAATGAAGTCCACTCCCAATTTTAGCTTTTGTTTGTTAGCCCTCTCCCTGCGCTAAATATTTATTATGACATTTATTATCACATTATTTTGGTGACTCACCGTCCCCAACTTCCCAGCATTGTTTCTAACGGGAACTTCTCAGTACCTGTTTCATTAACACCCTGCGTGGAAGCAACTTCACCCTCACATCCCTTCCCATATTGACTCAGCCCTTCACCTCCACGACAAAACCAGTCCCTCCCGACCCTCCTCTGGGGTGAGTTCATGGCCTGCTCTTTGTCCACAGTGACCACTTCATCTTTCTGCACCATCACTGCTCTCCCCACGACCAGATGGGGCTGTCCTTTCTTTGAATGTCACTGGGTAGTAAACACTGGTCCCAAGGCCACCATCAATTTTTTTTGTCCAGGGCTCAATTAATCCACAGCCACCATCCTGGGGTCCCCAGCTGAGTGATTGCATTTTTGATGCGTGATAGTGCATGTTCAGCAATGACCAGCTGTGTTTCCAGAAACGCTAATGCTATTCTGCTATTGCAGCATGGGCCTCTCAGGCTGAGATCTCCATTAACCAAAGTCTCCTAATTTCTGCAAATTAATGTCCAGAGCTCTTCTCCACTTCAGCCCAACGGCTCATAACAGATCCCTGACACTGCCCACTCTTGGGTAATGTCAGCTCGAAGATGCAAAGGCATGGAAGGCTCTCTGGCTCTGAGGTATCAATAAATCTTACGTGAAATGTGTATTTTTTTATTAATAGGTGTCCTCTGCTCCCTGTCCTCCCTTCCATCTTCCTCCACACTGCAGCCCATTATTGCAGCACTCCACTCACCTGAATCCCTCATTTCTCACCCCAGACTCCCCACAGTACTCTCTGAACTACTGAAAATCTCTCCTTCTCTGTCACATTGCTTTGACAACCAAGGCTTTCAGCTGCTCTGTCACAGAGGAGGCTCACGCCAGTATTTTTTGCTTTCTTTCTCAATCCCTCAGAATTATCTCCCAGCTGCTCCCCCCTCCAAATTATTTCTTCTTCAGACTCAGGGGTTCTCTGCAGTCTGTGCTGACCTGTGTAACTCCATGTGATGCTCCATCTGTTGTTGACTTCTCTGTGTTTACTTTCTAAGGGGAAAACTGAAAACATGACTTCAAGCTCTGGCCAGTGTCACTGTCATTCCTCAAAAATAAGATCTGCTGTGGACTAAGCTCTGATTTGGATGGGCTCAAGGCTGTGGCTCAGCCCCAGGGGTGCTGACTGAGGGAGGGCTTGTGAACTGTGTCCTGTGCAGTGCTGCATCTCATGTGGGGCCACCTCAGCCCACAGAGAACCGAGGATGTGAGCAGACAGACAGCACTGATCTGCTGTGCACAGCCACCAGCTGTGGGGCTGAGCTCGGAGGGGTCCCCAGAGTGCCTGGTCTGACTTCCAGCTCCACCATGGGGTGCAAAGCAATTCCCAGCATGGGAACCTTGGTTGTTGCCCTCCCTAAGCACAGCACAGCAGTAGCAGCTCTCCAGAACAGACCATAACCCACTGGTCTGAGCTTGGACCAGCTCACGTGAACCCTCTTTAATGGCAGTCAGACCCTGATACCTCAGCATAACCAAGATGCTACATTCAGACAGCTACTGGACTGAAGGCATGTCAGGGTTTATATGTACATAATTCTCTCTCTGATCCTGCCTCCATACAGGCATCCAGCAGCTGGACCTCCAGTTCAAGTATATTTATAAATAAATACATCCATGCATGGCCAGTGAGGTGTATTAAAACCAGCTTATTTCAGAAATAGCATCGTTTTTCCTGGCGAAGGAGAGCAGCTTCTCTCATTTTCTGTGCCACTTGTATTTTTGGGCTTAGCGAGGCAAAATGCCAAGGAGAGACAGCCTGTTTACCTAAGAGCAGCTAAAAGAGCTGTGTGGCAATCAAGGTATTGAGTGGGTTGGGCTGAAAATAGATCAGCTTGGGAAGACTTTGATCAAAAATGCTCATCAGGGGACTGGATGGCCTTGAGCACCAGTAACAGGCCCTTAGGGAATATATCCCCCTGCACAAACACTGAGCAAGGTGCACACTCCTCCCTCCTGTCTCTCATGAACCGTATCATGAAATTGGATTAATTATCAGGAATGTGATCTTTTTTTTTTTTTTTTTCCCTGGGAAAACCCTCTTGAAAGGGTGTTTGTGGCCTCACTGAGATATTACTGAGTGCTTCACCTCAGCCTTTCTCGGTCAGTTATTATTTTTTAACCCCTTGAAGCTCTCCTGAGCTCCCACTCAGACAGGATCCACACCTTTTCCAAGCTGTTTTGCCTCTTCCTTTCTTGTTGAGCAGACATGCTCTGCCCTGTGCCAAGCCTAACCTACCCAAGCAATTACCAAACTATTTGCCTGCAGCTCCACATATCTCACTTTATACAACACCTTGTGCCAGCTCTCCTTTCTGGGCATGTCTACATAGTTGTTCTGGCCCAGGGTCCAGGTCTGGCGTGTCTCTTGGCATCCTGACAGGCATGACAGATTACAGAATAAAGTGTTTGGGCTCTTTTGGAGGCTCCAGGAAAGCTCTCACCCTGCAATAGGAGAGCAAGAACACAGTCCAGGCTCTGGCTTTGAAGGTGTGGGGATATGACAGGTCTGGTCACAGGCCCTGGGCTCAGGTCCAGAGAGAACAAACAGCACCATCATGTCTCTGTAGCACTTTGTTACGAAGTGTTTCTGTCCTTAATTGTCTTGTTTTGTAGTAAATGGGTTAAGATGCTGCCCCGTGGGGCTCTTTTACCTCACAGTTTTGCAGCTGAAAACATCAGGGAGAACAGGTCACCATGTAGGGCTGGGAGAAGTTTGCCCACCAGACACAGCACAGTAAAACCAAGGGCTCTCCCCAGACTGGCGATCGATGGAGCTTGTTACAGGCTCGGCACCTGCTGTTATCATGAAAACCACGGTCACGTCAGGAGTTTTGCAGTTCCAGGGCTGCCAGACCCCTAGTTCTGTACCTCATCAGTGGGAATAAATAAAAGCACCATCTAAGGGTGGTTTGAGGGGGTCCTGCAGCTCCCCACCGGCTGCAGAGCACCCCAGAGTCCGTCGCTGTTCTGGATGACAGCGCTCACACCCGTTCCCAGCCCCACTGGTGTTTAAGGCTTTATCAGATTCCACTGGAAGTTGGTTGAATGTGGTCCAAGTGCTTGCCTGAGGTTTTCCAGCCTCCTGTGTCACATCTAGCACAATCCAGCCGAGGATCTTGGTGTTACTGGCTCCAGGTTTCCTCCTCCACGTCACAAAACCCCTGTTCTTCCAATGGCTGGGGCAGTGTTTTAGCACTCTGTAAAGGTATTAGAAACCAAATTACTATTTGAACACAATGATACTGGGCCATACAATTCTTCCTGCAGATCTTGGAAATTGCTTTGCTATCCACATCAGCCCTTTCCTGGATCAACTAACAGCACAGACCTCATTAAATCCCACACGCACTGCTGTATGCCTACGGCTCCGAGAAACTCGGGGAGAAGAAAAACAGGGAAAAGAAAACCCAATTGTGGGCACATTTGGGTTTAGAAAGAGGAAATCAGAGTGAAGAATTAAAAATGGCAGACTTTTGCTGTGCCAGTATTTTCCTCCTAGGGCTCATGAAGCCCTGCTGGATCTAGAGGAAAGCTGAACAGATTCCCAAACACACCAGTGGAATTGAGGACCAGCATCTTGGCAATGGACTTCTCCTCATCTGAGAAACTGGAGGATGGCAGCAAGTCAGTGACATTTCTTAAGTGAGCCCAGAGGGGCTGGGTCCTCCGCCTTGGGAAGCAGCAGCCTGCAGTTCCATGGAAAACAAGATAGCAATGAAATATGTGACCTTCCAACATCACTCTGAAGGTCCTTCCTGTCTGAAGGAGGAGACAGTAGTGGGACTTTTCTGCCCAGCAGTGACTACAGACAGGGCTGTGTTTTCTTCCTTCCACCCTTTAGTCAGAAGTGAATGTGAAAGGAAATTTCAAGTGCTGAAATTTTGAAAGCCTTGAAAAAGGAATTTTCATGTGTGGACACCAAGCATAGCTTTTAGCTTATGCCTGAATATTTTAGGGGCTGTCTTTTGGGGATGCTCCTTACCTTGCTGAATCACAGCCCAGACACTGGGGTTTGGGAATTACTGGTTTAGGGGAGATGGTTTCAGACACTGACAGGGAAGGTTGGGAGGCACAGCACCACTCCTGCATGAACTTGGGTGGTTACTGTGGACCAGCTGACAGTCTTCAGTTTGCTAAATCAGGTAATCTGACATTAAATCTAAGCCCACAGTTGCAACCATGGAAAGAGCACTTCCAGGAATAGGCTATTTATCCTGTAGCTGTGCACGGAATTACAGCCAGGTAATAACTCTGGGACACAGTTTATTTTTCCATGGTTGCTGTGCCTTCTGGGTGCTCTAAAGCAGCTTTTTTCTTGTCTTTTGTTTGGTTTGTGTGAATTTTATTTTAAATTCTGACATTGGAGTTCCCCTAGTTGCTGATTCCAAGGGTGTCAGTTTTAAAATGGAGGAAAACTAATGAAGCTGGAAATATATCAGTGCTGCCTCCGTGGTGAAGGTACCTGCCAACATCCCAGCCTTGCTCTGTTCAGAGCGTCCAACCTTCATCTTCTGCCTCTGCAGAGAGGATGCTGGGACTGACTATTCATCGTTATGGGCCAAAGTACCGAACTCAGCACACCAGCTACAGAAAACAGAGCCTGCTGAGGCACAGCTGGCTGGCTGTGGAGGTGCTTTGTTTCAGCATGTGATGGGAACACTGAAGCAAGTCCATGCCTGGGGATCAGGGGCTTGATTCTGCTCACAGCCAAGATCCCCGAAGACACTCAGTATCTGTTACCCCTAACAATGCAGTGCCACTGAAAATCCCAGGTGCCCAATAATCCCTGTATAAGCAAGCACAGACATCAGCCCACCAGCCAGCTCCCTACTTGTTTGCATCCAGTGTGCATTTAGCAGCAGGCTAAAAATACAATACCATGACTAGATAACGCTCTCTTGAAGACCACTTGCATTTCAGATCATCCCAGCCTTATGCCACATTCAGAACCTGCCTGAAAACCTGGAAAAATTATTTGCAGGGACACCAAAGCTCAAAGAACAGCTCCAGTCAGGAGACCTTTATTCCATGGGCTTTCCAGGCAGGGCATATGCAGTTGACACAGGGACCATGTTATTTTTCAGGAGAGAATTTCAGGTAGGAAAAATGGTGGATGCTGACTCTGTCAGCTCTTTGAAGCTTGCAGAAGTGGCTGATGCTCAGGGGTGCTGCCATGTGCTGTCTGATGCCTCATCAGGTCACAACTGCAGTGCCAGGGTTAGTCTCCCTGTGCTTCCTTTACAGCCAGGGATGGCCCTTTTGGGGTACAGTCCATCCCACCCCAAATGAGTCAGCTGGAATAGGTGAAAAAATTCCTACAAACCCATTTTCTAGGCTGCTCCCTCCTCCAAGGATATTAAATCTCCTGCAGTCATGTGTGAGACCCCCTGCCTTGGTGAGGGGTTGGGGGACAGGAGCAGCTCTGCTCAGCCAGGCAAGAGGATATTAAATCTTCTCCAGGTCCACACCCATCCAAGGGTTCAACCTGAAGTCTTACATCCAGGGAAGAGCCAGGTCATTTATGGGATCACTCCCTCCTCTAAACACCAGTCCTATGGCTTCCCAAAGAGCAAAGGGGTCTGTTACCTGCCCCAGTATCTGCACTCGCTGTATCATCTCAAGCTGGTTTGAACTGGGGATAAAACCCACAGAAGAACCTCTCTGGATTAAAGTGAGTCCTCACCATCATCCTTGCCCTGCATGGATAAGACAACAGAGACATAAGGAGCCACAGGTAGTGATCTGAAGTCTGACAATTCCAACTGATGGCAAACGTGTGTGTGTGCACAGGTAGGTGTTGGTGGGAGCACGAGCCATTCACAACCAGACCCTGTCCCCAGCACATCAGGCATCAAATCCTGCATTTGTTTTTCTGTAGAGCAGCTTGTCTGTCCAGGCAAGAGCACGGATAGATGCCAAACCAGGCTGCAGGTACCCAGGGGACGGGAAGGAGCAGCCATGGGAAGCAGCAAGGGTCCAGCCCAGGCCATCTGCTGCTGTTGGATTAATCTCTAACCTGTGGTCTTAGCTGGCCAAGGGAAACTTGTTAGGCTGAATTTGTCTCTCTAGCTTCAGGTTACAGCCTGGCATGTTAAAATAAACCATCACTGACTTTGTGTTGGCTTAAAAACCTGGGCTGTGGATTAGAGATGGAGGACAAACTGTGGAAGGAGCTGTGTGTGACCACCAGTGTGGGGAGGAGGAGATAACTCTGTGCTGCCAACAGCTTGAGCTGGTGGCCCAGGGCACCTCCCTGAGAAAAAGGAAAGGATGGAGAGCCCCAGGGTGAAGGGGTGGCTGAAAGAAGGCTTGGACCCATGAGCAAAGTCTCTCTCCTTCTGCTCTGGGATCAAACGTTGTGTGCTCTGAAGAAGCAAATTTGAAACATTTTTTTTTTCCCTCTCTTGTTACTGTTGTTTCTCATTACCATTGTTTGTCTTGTTTTCTCTTGCAAACCATCCTCTGCCAGACGAGTAGCAACCTTGAAAACTGGGAAGTATTGTGGAAGAAGGAGGAGAATTACTTGCTTAAAATTTCCTTTTTCAAAATGTGAAAATTAAAAAAAAAAATAATCAGATGTTTTCACTGCCGGGGAAAGGTATGGACAGAAACAGAGGAGAAATGCCTGGAGAAAAGCTGTCTCCCAGCTTTGTTGAATACTGGAGAAGGAGGAGACGGATGAAAAGCACTAATGAAAAGAAAGTTTGAGGAGTGGACTCGAAGGCTGACTTATTGCTTATCTGATTCCTCTGCAAACCGGGCCAGCTGTCTTGCAGGATGGTTTCAGGTGGCGTCTGCTGAGCCTCCTGACTCATCTGCGTGTGGGTTTTGGATGTGCTGGAGCTGAACTGAACCTGCCAGGCACTTGCAGTTTGCTTTTACACACATGGAGGAGAGCTGGGCTGGTTGGACCGAGCATTACAAAGCCTCTTTCTAGGAAAGGAGCTTTGCGTAACAGAAGGGAAAATAGGTCGTTGTCAAGGTTTAGGGCATCTGCAGAAGAAAGTAAACAAGTGGCCCGGCGTGGCCAAGATGGGAGAGCAGCTCTGCACCGAGCAGGATCTGCCCCTGCTCAAAGACAAGGCTGTGCTTGCAGGAGGGTTTGGCTGGGAGGAAAGTCAGCCTCGTGTTTACGACAGCGGGACTCGGATTCTCCACGTGATCCCTGACAAATCATTTAATCCCAGCGCTCTGGGAGGGAGGAATCGCCTCCCCATGACACCCAAGGCTTTGGGTGCCAAGCTCTGTGGGGGCACAGCTTGCACCTGGGCATGAGGCACTCGGAGCAAACGTGGCCTTGGGATCGCCGTGGAGCTGCTTAGGAGTGGGAGGCTCATGGGAATGAGGAGCTGGTGCTGGAGCAGCCACACCAGCCATGGCCATGGCAGAGCCAGGGCAGAGCCAATCCCAGGAGGACTCAGATGCGGAAAGAAACAAAAAACAAGGAAAAAAACCAAACAAAAACAAACAAAAACCACAAACAAAACAACCACCAACCGCCTGCAAAAGCACCGCAAAGTGCCCTCAGGCATTCGCCGGGCAAAAAATCCCAGGGGAGATGCTGGAACAAATCCAGCTGCCTCCCTGGGTGATGCTGAACCACGGCACGTCACCTTCCCGGGGCACAGGGCTGGGGGAGGCTGGGGCACCCACTCACCCGCCCATCCACCCACGGAGGAGGCCAGGGACGGCTCTGCCCTCCCTCCCTCCCTCCCCGGGAGGGTACAGGCCGTGCTGGAGCAGCGCCGTGGCACCCGGGGGGCTGCGCGGGGGCTCTGCGGAACATCTGCCAGCTGCCCGGCCCCCGCGCCGCCGGCCCGCCAGTACATCTTGTTTGTGTTTTTCCGCGGAGCGCACTCCCAGCGGGTTATGTCAGAGGTGAGGAATGCAGGGCCACCCTGTGTCATGAGATCAGACTCACATTTTTAGGCCGAGCGCTTACCGTATTTGCCGGGAAGCAGCGCGCAGGCGGCGCGCGGGGCCCCGGAGGGGTGGGAGATACCCCCTTCGCCTCCATCCCGCTTTTCCAGCCCTCGCTCCAGCGAGAGCCGGGTGGAGCGGATGGGGCCCGTCTGCTGGAACAAGCTCCCCCTCTGTTCCCCGCAAGGAGCAAGAAAGGAAACGCAGTGAATTAAAGGCGAATGAAAAGGCGTACAGTGAAAGGCGGCCGGGCTCGATGCCAAGCGCTCGGAGAGTGCTCACCGAGGGAGAACTGGTGCGGAGCTGCTCCCTGCCGCCCGTGAAGGCATCGGCACCCGGGATTGCCCCGCGGGGAAAACTCCTCCGAGCACCAGCACCCACCAGGCTCCCAGGGGCTGGAAGCTTGAGGAGGGACACGAGCCCGGCCAGGGAGAGCCGGGCTGGGATGTGGAAGCAGTTCGCAGGGTCTGACCCAAAAAACACCGCCCAGAGCAGTGACTTTCCCCCCAGTTTCATTGCTGGGAGCCAAACCCTTACGTCCAATCTTTCTAAAATTTCTGGGCTGCTTTGCCCGAGTCCCTCTGCTCGAGCAAAGCTGGTGCAAAGCAGCTCTGCTGGTGTAGTACGAGGTTGCTGCGCTGCACTTTCCCTGGTTGTCCGGCTTAAAACTCGAAGGCTCCTTTGCAGCTACTCATCCCATCTAGGGTAGGAGGAGGGGAGCCGCTTTGATCCTGGTGCCACTGCAGAGAAAACCCACTGCAGCAGGGTCAGACCCTGGCGCAGGGAAAGGCTCCCCCTTTCTGCTCTGGTGTGGATTTTGCTGCCTTTTTTTTTTTTTTTTTTTTTTTTCTTTTTTTTTTTTTCCCTTTTTTTTTTTTCTTTTCCTGAATTAGCTACAATAGAACGTATCTTCAGATTTTAGACTGAAAAGCCCAAAAGTGAAGAGAAAATGCTTCCATAGACCATGTGCAAACTGAACACCACTGTTTGTTGTGGGTTTTTTTGATTGTTTGTTGTTTGGTTTGTGGTTTTTTTTTTCCTCTGTTTTGCCTTACCCAGGGTTTTGACATGGTGGTGTTTTGTTCTGTGTCAGGAAAAAAAAAGAAAACAAACCCTGAAATACCAAAGTCTTTCACACAATGGACTTTCCTTTCTCTAAACATCCCCGTGAGCTGGGCCTCTTGCAGCTCTCAGCTCTTCCCAGAGCAGGAGAACAAATACTGGGAAATCTGGAGGGATGAACTGCACAGAGCTGGCTGCAGCAGCCCTGTGTTATTCAGTGCCTCCAGTGCTGGCTGCTCCTCCCCTGGTGGAGGCAGGTGAACCTCCAGCAAACCCTGCTGGTTCCTGTGCTCCTGGCAGTTTTCTGCTGTCCACCTCAGTCTCCTTTTTGTGTCCCTGTGAGATGTGACAGGGGACAATTTCAGCTCCTCATCTCTTATCCTCCAACTTCTCCTCTTCCTGTTTGTTATGTCACCTTCATGAGCCGTTCCAGACTTCTTTGGGCACTCTACCGTAGTCCCAAAAATCTGTCTGGGAAATTCTCCCTTTCATGGCAAATGCTGATCTTGGGTCCTCTCTAGACTTGTGGTGCTATGGAGGCACCAGAGAGCGTCCTGTGGAGATGAGAGAGGTGACCAGCAGGGACAGAAGGGACTAGCAGAGAGCTCCAGGGGGACCCTCAGACCCAGCACCCTCCCATGGGCAAGGGGATGGAGGGTCCCTCAAAAGGCAAAGGTGATGTGTTGACAGGAAAGGGCTGGTTGCTGCCTCGTGAAAATAAGGAGGGAGAAGTTATGGTGTGGGATCCTTGGGAAAATGAGGTTTATTTAATGGTTGAAGATGTTATTCTCTTTCTTCCCTCTCTCTTCATCTTCCTTGCCTTTCATAAAGTTGTGCTTTGATAAGATTTTCTGTTTTATCATTTAGTGTGGAGATTTGGTTTCGTTTTCCCTGGATTTGGAAAGGAAGGAAAAGGGGTCTTCAGGCAGCATTTAGTAACAGCCCTGGACAAAAAATCAGGGCTAGACAAGACCCAGAAAAGGGATTGCATCCACCTTGGCTGATCCAGAAGGCTTCTGCACTATGAATGACATGAAATAAGGATCTTGGCTTTCATTAGATCTTTCAGCTGCCTGGAATGCTTTAAGGATCAGAATTCATCATTAGCAATAATTATACATATTTAGACTTGATATAAGTTCGGTTCAACTGCAGTGAACTCATTCGCTTCTGTTACGCTCCTCCAGTCTGGGGGGAATACACTTACATTGCTTAGCAACCTTTAATCATTTTGGTGGAGCACAATAGTCTGGGAAGGCTGAAGTCTATGTCCTCTTACCCTGCCCCAGGTAGTTACTTGATCTCCCAAATAATAAGTTATCTGACCTTGTCATTTGCTTCTAATCACCATTATTTTCTGAACTGGAATCGAGCATCCTGAAATCACAGAATATCTCAAGTTAGAAGGGATCCAGAGGGATCACAGAATGGTTTGGGTTGGAAGGGGCCTTAGGGATCATCCCATTCCAAAAACCCCCTGCTATAAGCAGGGACACCTTCCACTATCCCAGGTTGCTCCAAGCCCCATCCAACATGTCCTTCAACACTTCCAGGGATGGGGCATCCACAGCTTCTCTGGGTTCTGTGCCGGGGTTTCACCACCCTCACAGTGAAAAATAATAATAAAGATCATCAAGTCCTGCTTTTCTCAGGACTGCTACAAATGTGTATTGCTTGACTTTAATGATGGGTTATCCCTCCCTCTGCAGCGTGGCAGTGCCCCAGGATATCTCAGGCAGATCCCAGAATGTAAGGCAGCAATATCTCCGTGTGACCCAGGCAGGCAGCTGCTGGTTTGACTCGGAGCAGCACAGCAGTGGGATGTGCTGTGCCTGCCAAAGCAGATACTGTGGGTTCTTTATTTCCTAATTGTCACTTTTTCTATGACTGCCTCAAACAGAACCAAGGAGCACGGAAAGAACAGTGCTTCCCCTGTCAGGGATGGGGTGGAAAAGGCGGGAAAAAAAAGGCAGAAGGAAGAATGTGGTGAAAGGCACCACAACATCCAGGGGCCTGACTCCGATTTGCTTGAAGCAATGTAAACAAGCAGGCTACAAAACCTAAGAGCTCTGACTGATGTTGGCACCAGAAAAACAAGGTAAACTTGTTTTAGACCAATTATACTGGAGCATATACGGGAGATTTTCAAGACACTGAAAACCATCATCATTAAACAGAGGAGTAATTTGAGTTTTAGGGCCAGATATAAACACCAGGGCTACAAGAACCAGATATTTAACCTGATATAAAGTGACTGTTTTATTGTTTCTAAAGATTTTGCATTGTTTGAAAGATTTTCTACCATAAGATCTCTCAGCTGCTCTGCTCAGCTCCCTGCTGGGACACCCTGCAGCTCATCCAGGCTCATCTCCCCCAAGCCCTCCACCTACCTTTCAGCTCCCTGTACCCCAAAATCTCTAGATAACTGTCATTGCATGCAAACTGGCTGGGGTTTGCCCCTTTCTGCTGGATATTCACCCAATCTTTCCTGACCTACTGCCATATTTCCCCACTCCTTGTAACCACCAGCCATGATAAAGTTCTCTACTCATGTTCAGGGCAGGACTGCTGCTCCTTCCTATGAAACTCACTGGAAGAGCATCCCACACACTTGGACTTCTGAGCAACTCAACTCACCTACACAAAGAAAAATGAGGTAGAGCTGGCAAGTCTGAGTGAGGGGCCCAGGTCAGCCCCTGTGGAGAAATAGGACAGGACTTGCAGGGAGATCTTGTTCCTTGGTGTTCTCCAAGTTCCCATTAGGAGCAGGCAGAGCTACCTGGCTTGCATGAATTCAGCTGTCTGTCCCTCTTGGCCACCTCTCCCCTGGTCTCTGGTGAGACTAGAAACAAGAGGCTGCTGCTCCACCTCTACCCATGTATTCCAGGGCAGACCTAGAGATTTGGGGGAATATATAGCCAGGTCTGAAGGCCAAGGGCACTGGGAGTCATGGTGGCACCAGTGGGATGCCCTGTCCCTACCACAGAGAGGTCTCTGGAGCATGACGTTAGGCTAGATGTATTGTTCCAGAGGATAGCCAGGGATTCCCTGGAACACTGCTTTATTCAGGGCCATCTGCTATCTCACAGTCCCATGACCAAGAGGATTGTCATGCCTCATGATTCATCCTTTCTGGTTCCCATGGAGCAGGGAGAGAGCCACAGAAGCCCTTGGTGGTTTTGGTTCTCCTCAGCTGTGGTTCATTGCTCCGGCCCTTCTTGCTCTTATATCCTTCAGGGAAGAACAGAAGTGGTTCCAGTACAGAAGCAACAACCAATATAATGGTTTGTGTTCATTCACACTAACCAAGCACCCCCTTCAGCTGCCCAGCACTTCCCAGGAGGGTAGATACCTGGGAGACGAGAAGGCATACCTGGGAAACAATCAGTGGTGCTACCACTCCAGAAAGGGCTGTAGGAAGTTTCAGGCTGCAATAACATGGTGATTTCATCCACTTCAGCAGGCCCTTTGCCAGGTGTATCCTGTCCAGCCTGTGCTGAACTGACTGGGGATGAGGAGAGGCAGTGGCAGCCAACTCCAAATGGCCAAGACCAGCCTCATGTCAGTGCTCAGTAGCTGATTCATGTTTTGGTCTTCTGCCCCACCCAGTCTAGAGCGAGTTCAGCACAACCCTTTGAGCTTCACTTTCCTGCTTTCAGGACTCTCCCTCCTTCAGAGATCTTCCCACATTCATGGCCCAACCCATCCGCCACCAGTTCCCTCTCTTCTCCTGGACTGGACACCACGCAGGGCAGGAGCCAGGAGCTTGCTGGCTTTGATTCATCATCCTCTAGGAAAAAAGCTGGCTGATCCTGCTGGCCATGCTTCCTCTTGCACCATCTGCTGTTCCTGACAGCCAGCCCCAGCACAAAGGCTTGGTGTTCATCTGCACCACCCCATCTCCAGGGGAAAGGCCACGTCTGGGTGTTCACTGTTCCTACATGGCACTGATGAAGGTGGCATCTGGGAAGTGGAAATGGTGCTGTGTTATGCCCTGGCAATGCAATTGCATCCTGTCTCTTGGGTTTTGAGAGGTTTTTGCTAAGTTAGCAACCCAGGAACATCTGCACATCCTCAAAGCAGTGCCTTCTACAAACCTCTCCACGAGGCACGAGCACTCACGTGTCCTGGTGTGCCTGGGAATGTGGCTGTGCTGTCTGGTGGGATGGACAGGCTGCCAGTCACCATGGATACTGCAGTGTGTGCTTTGTCAAAAAACCCATGGCCCTGGGATCATGGGAACACATTTATATCCCACCAGCTTTGTCCCACCAGGCCATTCTCAAGTTTGGTGTGTGTTAACAATCAAAACCTGATGGCTTCCCACGGGTCCCAGACTCCTGGATGATGTAAGCATTTGTTGTCCCTGTCCTTAAATAACTACAGAGCAGAGCCAAATGGATTTTCTCTCCAACAGATGGGCTGCTGACAGGTGCTGCTGGAGGCTGAGAGATGGAAAATCAAGGATGCCCTGACATGGTCTGTCACTAGCTTGAAGAGAAAAAAGCAGGTGAGATTTGGTTTCCTTACTCTGGCACGTTATTTAGATGCTCTAGAAGTATAATAATGCAATATTGTTGTGCTAGGAAAATATTATTACCTTGTCTTAAAGGCAGGAGAGTGGGATGTGTCTTAGAGATGGAAGACTGGGATATGTCCTTTGGGACAAGGAGGATCTGCTTCCATAACACAGGTCCCAGAAGAAGCAGGGTTGTGTCAGAATGGTGAAATAACAGAAGACAAAAGCTTTTCTTTCTCTCTAAATAAGTAATTTCTGTGCTTCCTTTGTGGTTCTCTTTTAAAGACTTGCTGAATTCAAGGAGGATGTGGTCACACTCATTGGAAACTCCAGATGCTGCAATATAGAAACACAAATCTGCATTAAATTCACATTTTTAATGAGTTAAATGTCATGTGTTTTTCACAGGCTGCTGTGGTTTTTACATCCCTTGGAAAGCATTCACCCAGTACCTCTGATATCTCCTCCTTGATTTCTTTGACAGGATCCAGTCTTTTGTTATTTACTGATGTCACTGCAGCCTGGGAGAGAAATCAACACAGTCGTGAATTATGGACCATGCTGGTAGGACATTTCACTCTGATTTAGTGTGAAAAAATCTCAGATAATTAAAGATGAGCTCAAGCTATGACACTTTTCTTCTTGCTTCTGAGTTGCCCTGAGTGGTGAGGAGTGTCTGGGTCGAGTACTTCCACGTGGGTCATTGGGAAGGCGAGACCCTTCAGCAAACGTGGACCTGTGTGTAGATCTCAGTTCTGAAGAAGCCTGATATTACAGCAGTGCAGCTCTATCTCCACTCAGGAAACTCACCAGACTTTGTAAAAAAAACCCAAAAAATCAATCTCAGAGTCACTGGGATGAAAGAATCACATGTTGTTGTGTGGGTGTTCTTAAGCTTTAGCCATGGGATCCTCCAGCTCTTCCTTCACCTGCAGGTCTTTTCCATCCCACCTACCACCTTCTGATGCTGAGAATCTGAGGGATAAGGAGAGCAGCATCCCAGCCTGTGGGTGTGTGTTTCTGAACTGGGAGAGGCATGAGGGCACAGACAGGCAGGACATAACCTGTACCTTCTCTGCAGAGGTTACCAGCAGCGTCCTCATTTTGTTTGAAGAAAAGAAACTCCAACATCACATGAAAAAAAAAAAAGAAAGGGGTGGGTGGGTGGGTGGGAGGAGGACAGAATCTTGCTTTCTCCTTGAACAACAAAACTCTTGAACTCCTGACTCCAGGCAAAAGCAAACTGAAGTCACTGCATTTTGAAGCCACTCTGGAAGATGATGTGCAGTGCTGTGGTCCCACAGCGAGGGGAGGGTATCCCTAAGCACACAGCCAGGCACAGCTAGGGGAATTCCCTGGGCTTTTCCATGTGAAGGCTCATTTTATTATAAATAACCACCATTTTAATAATAAATTCCTGCCCTCTGGAAGTCCCACGGTAGTGCCATTGTCATCTGTGGGTACTGGAGACTGGGGAGGAGAAGAGGATGGGATGTGTTGGTTATTGGAGGGACTCTTTCACGAGGGCTACATTTAGGCCTATCCATGCACAGAAAGCACCACAATTTGGGGAGTCTGGGTGACCTTTGGCAAGAGCCCTATTCATACACCCACATTTCAGCACCACACACACTTCTTAAGTAGTCAAGGCAGAGGTGAATGCCCTCTTGCCTCCCCAACAGCTCTTACTGTTGGTTATAAATGTGAGCAAATTAGGCCAATATGTGGACACTGGATCTGGAGGATGCCTCAGCTTGGGATTTGGAGGTTTAGCTCATGATTTTTAGCTCCTCGACATCACAGGGCCAAACACTTCCTTTGTAGGGTTTCTTTGCTAAGTCAGGTTGGGTCCATCAAGGGAGCAATGGGTTTGTATCACCCCAGGAGAGCCCCTGTGGGAAGCAAGACAGTGAAGGTGGGCACTCCTCCAGCTATTGTAAAGGAACTGATTTTTAGTTGACAGGATGAAGGGCTGTCTTTGTGATGGGTATGAAAAGGAAGGGACCAAGAAGCCAAAAACAGAGAAGGAACAAAATGAAAATTTAAAGGAAAAAACGCAGCATCTGGCAAAATATTTTCGCTTTGTATCCTTCCAGGGGGTAATGGTTACTCATCACCTGAATTGCCCTGGTGGTTGTGACTCCTCTCAGGATGTAAATCACAGAGTCACAGAATGGTTTGGGCTGGCAGGGACCATAAAGAACATCCAGTTCCAGCTCCCTCATATACGAGAAGCACAGCTGTACTGCACATGTGATGGCCTGGAAAGACAACTCAGTCCCTGGGGAAATGCCCAGTGACTTATAGGAAAGCCACTCGTGGTGGAGAGGAGCACTTTGAATCCCAGCTTCATGTTTTACAGGCAGCCATAAAAAAAAATCAAACAAACATTTAGCACACCATCAGCAGATGGAGTCAGGGGTTTTTAAACCAGAACTGTAACATGCCATGGGAGGTACTAATCTCTGTTCTCACGGTCAGAGGTCCCCTCTGATCCAGGGGGGGGACTCTCCTATCCTCTGCTCATGCAGTGTGACCTGGACATCCCTGTGGTCTTGGAATTCCGCTGGCTCCAGGCCCATGCATGGAAGTGAAGGCACTGATTGCTCTTCAACATCCTGTCCCACCAGAAGGTGGATGGCAAAATATTGATTTCCTTTCAGAGGAGGCAGATTCACAGATGCTCTTATTGTGGGCTTATGTCTCCTTGGAGAGGCAAAGGGAATGCAAAGACAAACCCCCTCCTATCCCATTTTCAGGTCTCCAGTCATTGAACAGGAAGATAACACTGAAAAAAGGCTGGCACAACATGCAAGATCTTGTCTTCTCCACCACACCACAATGCAGACCCCTGTCTGCTATGTTGGCCAGCAAATATTAAATGATTTCCTGACTCCATCAAGCTGGACCACCTTCATCCTGGCAGCCTCAAGGTGCCATTTCTTGCTTCTACAAAATACCCAGGGATGTTTCCAAGCCCAGGTGCCCTTTCAGAATGAGCTTCAAGGCTGGGAAGAAGCTACTTGGGATCACAGGTGGAGGAAGAAGAAAGCATGCCTAAGGAGGCACGAGGTGTTCAACCTGGTGACAGCAGGAGTTGGCTCAGATTTGTCTGGCTCATGTCTGCACATGGGAGCAGTGGCTGCCCTGTTGGGAGAGGTTATTAAATCTTTCCCATGGCCTTGCCTTGAGTGTCAGAGCAGCAAAACACTTGTTCTGCAGTGCTCAGAGGGGAAGTCCAAAGAAGTGGCTTCTCCCAAGACAAGCCACCCACACACACTCACTTGAAGGACAGAGACTCCTCTCCAGAGTCTCACAGCCACCTGGGAATTTGGGAACCTTGAGGCTGAAATCCCCCCCACCATGGCACACACCTGGAGGAGCACTTCACCTTCTCTGGCTGAAGCAATTTGTCTTAACTAAAGCATTTCAATTAAAAGTCAAGACTGAATCACTGCAAAGTGCTGCTGACAGGAGTCATTAAACTGGAACACAAGTTTTAAATAATTATTAATATGCTCTGCAACTCATCCATAGAAGGCCCTTAATCAATATGCATTTCAATTCCTTGCATTAGGGTTTTAGTATTTTAAATTCACAGCAGGGGTAGGGTTGGGAAATCGTCATGAATTTCCATCAGAGCTCTTGCACAACCAAGCCTGGGTGATCATCATCGGGATCCAAGCTGTTGGGAGGGTGTGACCAAATGCATCAGACTATTTTGGTGGCGTGTGCCAAAATGAATTGGTGGCTCTTCTCTCAGGAAAATGGGTATTGCGGCACATCACTGACATGGGGGTAAGTTTTTAGAGTCCCTGTTGGTGACAGCAACAGGGATTTTGCTTGGCCATCTCAATCAGTGTCAAACACCCACAGGCACTTCTGGCAATTTAAGCATTACCTGACCATCCCCTGGGAGAGAGCAGAGAGGATGAGGATGGGCTGAGATGTAGACATGAGCTCTCAGGGCTGCAGGTGCTCATGCCTGGGGACCCCAGATCTTCACATGCAGCATTCACACGCCCTCACAGCACACAAAATAGATTTGATAAACTCCCTGCATAGCTACGGGGTTAGTCTTGTGGCTGGAGCAGAGCAAAGCAAGCCGATACTCCTGCCTCCTGCTGCCGGCAGCGAGAAGAGCCGTCATCTCACAGCAGGAGCAGGGAGAGGCAGGAGCATTCCCAAGGTGAGAAGGGATGAGGGGACCCATCCCAGAAAGCGCTGTGGGAATGTGGGGAACGGATGGTTTGAAGCTAATCGTGTGCTTCAGCATTGGGCTGGATCAGGGCCAGAGGTGCAGAAAAGAAATTTCCAGTAAGGAGAAACCTCTAGGAAGAACCAAACCCTAGAGGAAGCTCAGGGTGAGGTTTGTGCTTCCTATTTCAGTCTAAAAAAAGCCCTGTCCCAGGAGGGGGTGAGTTTCAGTAACATCCAGATAGCCCAACACTTTGTGTCCAGAAGAAGGGTGATGACAGTAAAACAAGTGGAAGCTCCGCGAGCAGATGGACCCTCAGAACATCCCTCCCTGCAGGGTGGCATCCAGGGACAGAGCAGCATCAGCCTTGGAATGGTTCAAAGGAGGAGGGATATGCCAAAAGGAGCAGAGGTGGTTGTTGCAGCTAAAGAGAGTTGCATCTCTTTACCCCCAGAGACGGGGGCTGGGAATGTATCCCATGGTTATATGCATGCCCTGTGCCATGGGTCTGCATGAGGGCCAGGTATTTCTCCCCTCATTTTGCCTTGGGGCAAACCAGGAGCTGGGGGCTGTGCCCTAGGAGCAGGCTGGATGCAGCCTGTTTCGAAGGCTAAAAAAATGCAGTCCTATAGAGGAAAGCCAGGTTAAGGTATTTATTAGCTTGCCTCAGGCCCTGTTTGGTTTACTGCCAGCCTAAAAATCCCCCGGTGCTGGGAAATCAGCTTGGACCGTGTATGCACATTGCCGCATCTCGGCTTGTGTTTTGTGGGGGGTGCATCTGCTTGATTTTGCGACGCTGAAGATTGAAACGAGCTAGGGAAAAGCAGGCACTTTGGAGAGGGAGAGGGAGGAAAAAAAAAAAAAAAAAAAAAAGGAAAGAAAACCAGAAAGAAATCAGAAGCAGGAGGGAAGGAAAAGGGAAGATTTTGTCTCGGGGAGGCGTCGGAGCCTCCGAGGACCGTCCCCGCCGTCGCCCCGCATTGCGAAAGAACCTTTAGCTTGGGCTCGGGTGCCCCTCGGTTTTGCAAGGCATCCCGGCACGGCAAGCCTGTCCCAGGCCGCTCCTCCCAGAGCGCAGCGGGGATGCTGTGGAGCCGGGAGGCCCCGCGCCGGGGCCGGGATGCAGCGGGGCCGTGGGGCGAGCGGCGCGGGGCCGCTGCCATCTAGTGGCACTGGGACACAGTCCCCTGCCAGCCCCGGCTTAGAAAACCCCGCCAAAACACAACCCAGACCCCTCCGACACCCCTTCCTCCCCACCATCCCTATTCACGCTATTCATGGGTTCGGGGTTGGGGGTTTCCGAGCGGTTTCTGCCAGCGGGGGCTTGAGCACCTGCCAGGAAAATGCGCTGAGACGAACGTGCGGTGGAGCGTGAATGTATTTGTGAACGGAGGAGCCGTGTACTCCTGCCTGTGGACCTTTCCCCTTCCTTACACCTCTGCGGAGGGTTTTTCCTCCTCTCCCTCCCTTAACAGAAATCCCTCGTGGCAGGAGCAGGGCTCTCCAGTCCTCTCCGTGCCTTCTCCTCCACTGCAGATCCCTCTTCCCTCCCATTTTGTGGCCTCGCTGCTCCCTCTCCTGCCACTGCCCCCCACGGGGACTCGGAGAGAAGGAGCAGGAAGGACACACAGCCAAATTTCTTCTCTCCCTTCTTGTATCGTTTTAACACTCCCCTTCCCCCCCCAGATCTTTCAGGGGTGCTGATACCCCTGTTTCTGCACCCATAAGCTGAAGACAGGGGGATGCTTAAACCCCATCTTGCTTTGTGTCTTCCTGCAAATTCACTTACACAATCTCTTACAAATTCCCTTATAAATCTCCCCTGTTGTGCTGGGAGCTCCCCTTTACCGTGGGGGTGACATGTCCCATTTCATCCCCACAGCACAACCTCATATCCAGGGAAGGAAAATGGAGACAGCTTTTCAAAGGCCACCCCAGAAGAGGATGGAGTAACATGCTCCCTACAATCCCATCTTGCCCCTTGGGGTGCTTTTGAGGGGGGGCTCCAGAGCAGAGAACCAACAAACAGCTCCCAGAGATGCTTATCAAGTGCAAAGAGGCACGGAGCTGGAATCAGATTTAAAAGGAGGGGAAAATCTGGGCTCTGGGCAGCTGTGAGATGTTAACCAGGGGTGATGGTGTGCCCGAGAGCTCTGGTGGTTCACCAGCACACAGGGGGTGTAAAAATGATGCCAGTGCTGGGTCCTCCTTGCAAACCAGCACCAGGCACAGGGGCTCTCTGCAGCATCAGGTCAACTAAAATCCTCTGTGCTGGAGAGGGTTGAGGCAGTTTGGCAGCACCCTGGGGCCCAAGGGGATGAGGGAGGTGGTACACGCACCTTATGGGTCTGTGCCCCAGCCCAAAGACCCTCCATCAGCAGAGGATGTACAGAGTCCTTCCACACAGCCCCATTTTGATGTACAGCTTTTTTTTTCAGCTCTGATACTGGCCTCTTGATGAATCCCAGAAATATTTAGCCCTTCCCATTGAAACTGGCTTGGAGATGGGGTCCAGCCAAGCCCAGATGTGACCCAGTTCTGGGGGCCCAGTTTGCCCACAGTCTCTCATTTTGGTGCAAAATCCTGCCTAATTTTCCTCCCATCCTGCACAACCTCACAAGGATCCAGCAGTGTGCCCTGGGTCTGAGGATTCCAAATCATGCTCCCAGTCTTCAGCAGCGCCATTGCAAAGGGACAGTCAGGGTTTCCTTGTGCACTCCCTACCCACCCACCTTGTTCCAGAAATGTGCCCATCCTGCTTTTTCTTCCACTTTTTCTTCTTTTGTTGCTTTGTTCCCTTACCTAAAAAAGAAACAGCAAAACTTTAAAGTTCAAGTTTTCTGTGCAGTCAGGTCCTTTGTGGAAGCCCAGACCAGATGCTTTTTAAAGTCCTTTGGGAGAGGAGCTGTACCCACAGTTAGTTGGGAATGGGCAGGGAGAAGGTCTTTTGGGCCCTTGTGTTGAGGGTGTCCCATACCAATAAGTGATACCACTGGGAACTGATCCCAGGCACATTTTGTTTTCAAGGAGAGACAATGCTGGAGCCAGCAGAGTGTGCAAGGCAGGATTTTATGCAGGGAAAAAGGCTCAAGGCACCAGTCCAGCCCATCTCCATCCTCCTGGTGGAGGGCTGCAGGTGCTGCCCTGGGGACCAGTTGTTCTCTGCCACTGAGGATATCTTCTAGGAGTGGGGAAAAAAAAGAGATTTTGGAAAAGTGCTGCTACCTAGTACAACTCCAGGTACAGCACAGTAGAATGGAGCTGCTCCTGGTCACTGGGATTTCTCATCTCTGAGGATTCTGCCTGTGTTTCCTTGCCCATCCCAGCTGCTTGGGATTCCTCATTCCTCCACATGAGCCGGTTTCTTCTGAGGCTGATTCCACAATCTTCACCTCTTATCTCTGTGACAAGCTAGAAGGGGGCTGCAGAGTCCCTACATTTTTATCAGCACTGGATTAATTAACAAAAAAAAAATAATCAGGAATAGAAAAAAGCCTGGCATTAACCTCGCTCTAGAGCAATTTCCAAGCAGGTACTGCCAGCGAAATAAAAACAGCAATTTGCAGCTAAATAAAAATAACAGTTAAGCATTTGAAACACAAATGCACCATTCAGCAGCAGCAGATAAATATTCAGGCGCGTTCATTAGGAGGTTGAGGCTGTCTCTCAAATAAACAGACAGGTACAAAATAGCAGCTGGAATACTCCAATTACGCCAACCTCACATCAGTGCCGACGCTCCCGGCTCCAGGAGGCGGTGAAGGGGAGATGGGGAGGAGGAGGAGGAGGAGGGAAGCAGTGGGGAACGTATTTTTTAAAAACTGGTCTTAAATTTTGTTTTATGTAACCGGCGTTTGGATTCTCCCCCGCGGAGGGCTTTAACTCCCCAGGGATGGGAAGCTCCCCCGTGGCACATGGGATTGGGCTGGCTCCCGGGGAAGAACCACCACACGGGGGGAAAGCAGGACTTGGCCTCCTGCCTGCTGCCCTAAAGCCTCCCAGAGGGTCCGGCAGCGGGTGATGCCCACCCGGCACAGCCCCCCGGGCAGCGAGGGAAGACCGCGGATCAGCCAAAAGCAAAACACGGCCGAGCCCAAAAGCTACAAAGCCTTTGGAGCTCAAACGCTGCAGCTGATTGAAAAACCACACATCCCCCCTCTCAGCGCCTCGTTTATCCCCTCGGCGCCCAGCATGTGCCTGCCCCAGGGCTGGGGGCATGTGCTGGGGACCTGGCTCTGGGACAAGGGGACACCGTGCCCAGGTGGCCGGGGGGAGGCTGGTGGCACTTGGCAGGGGTGCTCAGGTGCAATAGGGTGTTGTCCCCCAGGGACAGCCACACTCCTGGGGGTGCCACCTGAAGGAGGGGAGGGGACAGGTACCGCCCTGCCCCACGCAAGGCTCGGGGATGTGCAGTGCTCCCCATCACACCCAAACCCATCTGTGGGCTGGGGAGGGTGCTCGGGGCAGTGGGGTGTCCCTCACCTCGGGTACAGTGACACGTGTGGGGGTGCCATATGTCACCTGGGGGGGGGGAGGGATGACAGGCACCGCCCTGCCCCACGCACGAATCCTTGTGTCGGTCGGGGGGAATGCTCACCGTGGGACAACGGGGTGCTTCCCCCCTCCCTCGGGTACAGCCACACTTTTTGGGGGTGCCGCGTTGCCCCCCTGAGGGGAGAGGGGGGTGAGGATGGAGCAGCTCCCGCCGTTCCCCGCTCCCGCCGCGCGGGGGCGCAGCGCTCCCGGGGGCTCCCGTGCGCGCTCCCGCCCCTCGGTGTGCGCGCCCCCGCTCCGCCGTGTGCGCGCTCCCCCTGCCGCCCTCCCTTCCTTCCTTCCTTCCTTCCCTTCCTTCCCACCCTTTCCCTTCCCGTGCCGAATCTGCGGGCGCGGCCCGTGCGGAAAGTGCCGCGGCGGGAGCCCGGCCTCGCTTTACCCCGGCCCCGATTTCATCATGCGGGGGGCGGGCGCCGCCGCCCCGTCTCCTCCTCCTCCTCCTCCTCCCCCGCCCCCTCCTCCCGCTCATGCCGCTTCCCCGTAGCGTCCTGCCCGCCCTGCTGCGCCGCCTCGCCCGCTCGCTCCGCTCCGCCGCCCCCGCCATGGACGGCCCGCAGGCCGAGGCGCTGCTGGCGCCGCTCCGGACCGCGGTGCGGCAGCAGGTAAGGCGGCCCGGCCGAGCGGGGCCGGGCGGGGCCGTGGGAGGTGCCCCCGTGTGTCCCCCCGCACCCCGGGGTTTGCCCACCTTGCCCAGGGGTCGCGGCGCATCCCTGAGCTCCCCCCCCCCCCAGACACAGACACACACACCGGGCACTGCGGGGCCATGGGCGGTCCCCAGGGGTGTTCGCGGGCTCTCTGTCCAGGGGGTGTCCCCAGGGTCTCTGTCGTGGGTGAGGGGTCCCCGCTCAGCCCTAGGGGTCGGGGGTGTCGTGTTTGGGTCGCCCTCCCGGGCCGGTCCTTTCCCGTCCCCGCAGCGCTGGGTCCGCCTGGCTGAGCTGGGTCTGTGCCCAGCCCACCTGGGTGTCCCCTCCCGGGCTGGCTGTGCCCGAGCCAGCAGCGCTCGCCGTGCCCTGGTTTGCAGCCCTTCTCTCTGTCGATGTGTCCGCATCCCCTTGGGGGTCACACGGCGGTGTCCCTCCCCTTAGAGCTGAGTTTCCGCCGGGTTTTCGGAGGTAAATGACGTTCTTTAGAGTTGCGTGTCTGCCCGATGCAGTAAGGGAGGTTAATTCCTTTGCATATTTTCCATTTCATCATTCTCGTTTGTCTAGGTAGGTGCTGTCTCCTTTTAGCTGGGGCTGCATCACGTCCTCTTCCCGTCTCCCATCTTTAGCATCCTTCTTACCTGTGAAGGATTTGGTCGTCTTTTAATTTCCTGAGTAAATCTTGGTACCCTTGCTGTGACACGAATGGCAGTGGAGCTTGTGGAGTTCCCCTTCCCCCGTTCTTTACCTGTGCCCGGGTGTTCCCCATGTGCCTCCTTTAAGTGGCTCAATCCATATTATTCTCCTTAGCTGCACGCATAGCTGCGTGTGTGTCCCTTGTATCCGTGGATTTGTGCGTGTGTTTTCCCATTAAATGAGTGGATTTATGGCCCTCTAATTATGCCAGCACTTCAGTGAGTTTTTATTATGAATCATTGTACAGCATAATGCCTTGGCAAGGGAGCTGCTTGTAAATAAAGCAATGATCTCTAGAACCAGCCAATTTATTTAGTTTAAAATCCTGGGTGCTGTCGTTTGCCTTTTAAAGTATCAAGGCACCCCTTCTTCTCTGGGATTGAAACTGGAGTGTGGGGTGCCAAGGGAAGGCTTGTGGGTGAATTTGTGTAGCTGGGGCTGCCCATATCGTGTTGTACAAGTGACTGTAGTAATTCCCGGAGATGTTTGCCCAAGAGGGAAGGGAGGGGGAGTAACAAAGATTGGGGTAGTTGATACCTCTCCATGCGGGAGGCTGTGTCTGTCAGCTCCAGGAGAAGGAGTTTGATTAAACCTGAGGGACTCTCAGCCTATGGAGAGTGAGCAGCGTATCTTCCTGCAGCAGTGCCTGATGCAATAAGCTGCCGTGATCCAGGGGTGGATCCCTTCTCTGCCTTGCTGGTCTGTGGGACAAAGCTGCAGCAAAATTTGCCACATCGAGTGCTGCTGTGCACTCCTCCTCTGGGCTGGGCTCGGGATCGGAGCTTTAATTAGACCGAGTCCTGTCAGCAAACGTAATTATTTGCCTCAGTTGTGTTTTTTTTTTTTTTCTTCCCCTCCTCCTTGCGTATGTCTGAGTGTGTCTTACTTATAGGTCAGGACAAAGAGTTGCTGTGTGCTGCTTTTGGATGCTCAGCAGTGAGCAGGGTGTGAGGGCTCTGTTGACTCAGCAGTAGCTGCTTTGCTGCTGCCTTGATGTTTTCCTGCTGCCGACCCCCTGGCTCGACAAAGGCAATTTGGACTTACTACTTTAAAAGGAAAAAAAAAAAACCAACACAAAACACCAAACCAAAACCCCAGATCAGATCCCTCCCTCTGCCACGTTACCCAGGAATGGCAGTTGGAGTTCTAAACCCCAAAGTGAAACTTTCACGTTTGGGTATAAGCAGTTAACAGGAAGGAAACAGCAGATTTGTTCTGTTCTTGTAGCCCACGGGGTTAAGGAGCCTGACAGGATTCTTATTTTTCCTTCTCTTCGAGTGTGTTTGTTTTAATGCAGTGCTTGGAGACTTCCTTCTTTTATTAATAAAATTAGCCTTCGAACCCCTCGGTCTCTGAAGTACTTTTAGTTTCTCTAATCTGATTACAGAATGGCAATTAGTGTATTCTCTTCTCTCTGCTTTCTAAGTAAGTTACCTGTAATATCAATGTCAGGAAAGCTCAGAATTTAGGAAGAAGCTGGTGTTATGGGAATAATGTAATCACTATGGATAGTGGGGTTGTTTTTTTCCCTTTTTCCTTTTTGTTCAATGGAGAAGTGCAAAATGCAAGAAAAATGCTGAACTTGGAGCATCCCATTTTTAGAACATCCCACTTGACATCTCTTTTCCTCTTTTCCTCCAGCTCCTTTGTCCTTCCCAGTAACTCAAGATAGATCTTGGTTTTGGTGACGAAGAGTGGACTCAAAGGAACACTTTTAATTCATTTATCTCGTGGTTCAGTGACAAACTGGGCATGACTGCTGAGGATCATGCTCAGAAAAGAATGGTGTTGGGTGTGTAGGGGTTGAGCACTTCCCTGGGATGAAAGGGGAGAATCATCCCCACAGGGCAGAGAGACCTTTGTGGAACTGTAACAAGGTGATGGTGGTTTGACTCAGGTCAAGATCTTGGTGTAAGCCCCCTGCGGGGATTTGCTGCTCTGAAATATTTAGGTTTTCTTTTCTTTTTTTTTTTTTTTTCCAAAGGTGTTTTTACTTTTTGTTGACTTCGTTTTTTCTTAAAGTTACTGAACGAGTTTTAAAAATAATAACAGTTTTTACAGATCATGCTCAGACAGTAGGCAAAGAGTGTCTGTCTTCTGGGAGACCTTCCTCTGAAAATTTGTGTCCTTACTGCTCCGTTTCCATCAGACGGGACAGAGAAAAAGAAGTCTGAAATAGTCATAAGTTTTGAAGGAAAAGGAAGGGGTAGAAGGAAGAGATGCCTCGTTACTGAGTGGGAGAGCACAAAGTCTGTGCACACCGTCTGAGAATCCACTTAGTGCATCCTCAAAGACATAAACCAGGAATTTGTGGAAATCGGCTGTACACAGAGGACTAGATTTACACTCTGAGGTTTAATAGCAGGTCTGGGGTTTCACAATAGTGTGGGGTGGTTGAATTTCTCTAATGATGTTTACTTCTGCTAACTCTCAAATGCATAAGTGTTTCTCACTTGCAGCCTCTGGAGACCTGTGTGGAGAGCGGGGAGGCCGGACAAAACCCTCCTTTTGGATTACCAGGGGAGCTGGAAGAAGGAGAGGTCCTCAAAGAATGAATCTGTACATTGTCCTTTGTCTCTTTCTAGGGAGAGCTGGTAAGGAAGCTGAAGGAAGAGAAAGCTCCCCAGGTGGATATAGACAGAGCTGTAGCGGAGCTCAAAGCTCGGAAGAGGGTTCTAGAAGCAAAGGTGAGTCTGGAAATGAAATTTTGAGTCCCCCAGCCTTGCCTGAAAACCCTTGAAATCTCTACTTAGTTTTTTTTTTGCAGTATTGGTTTGGGCTAAGCAGTCACAGCAGGGTAGACTGTTTAAATCACTTCTGAAGTAGTTTGCAGGTTTCCCACTTTGTGGCAATTTCATTCTGTATGTGTTACACTAATTTCTTTCAGCATTAAATCAGTGTGCAAACAAATATGAGTTCAAATTGAGGTGGTCTGTAATTAAAGCTGAACTTGAGTGTATATGTCACTAATCTTTGTTTAATGTATAGATCTTTTTTTTGTGCACAGTGAGAGCACATGCTCTCACTCTGAAGAGTTTCCTCTTCAGATTCTTAGTGCAGCACTGAAATTCCCAGACTGGCGTGGAACATGTTTATTTAGAAATAATTTCCTTTGCTGCAGTTTAAACAAAGTTTTTGGAGGCATTTCAAATAGCCTATGTCTTTCCTCAGCCTTAAAAAGAGGGATGGGTTGAAATTGTGTCCCCTTCTTGAGAAAGAAGTAAAATACACTTCTTTATCCTGTGAGCTTTCCTTCTCTTTCCAGACTAAAACAACAAAAAGAAACTCTTGAAGCTGCAAAACAATCAGGTGTGCGGATTCACCTGGTAAACTGTGAGGTTCTTTCTGATTCGTATTTCGTATCAAAATGATTGTAACTGTGCTTTGGTGGCACTCCTAAAAATGAATGAATTAATGAATCAATGCACCGCTGCTTGCAGCTGCCTCACTGTGAGCTCGTGAGTGCACCTGAAGTGAAACCCTTTGGCCCTGTTTGCCCTACAGGGTCATGTGAGAGGAACAGGTGCTGCTCTCTGCCAGGTCTGGGCTTGTGGCTGCCTGTTTGCACACATTTAAGCTAAGTTAATGTCATTTTTACTTAGTGTTCATCGTAGAGCTGTGCTCTGAAGCCATTGCGCTGACGTCCAGGTCATCCTGGAGTGAACAGCATCGAAGTGTTTTCCCAGTTTTGTTTCCCAACCCTCAGAACCTGGAGAGATGCAGCCAGGCAGGTTAGGAGTCCTGGGATCCCTGAGAGC